GCTACCCCAGCATCATAAATAATGGCTATGAAATTCAAGTGCTTACATGATTTATGCTACCTCGTTGGCACTCACCCATGACTCACAACTCCAAGTCAGCAGTTCTAAATCTCACCAGTCCCACCTCTCAGTTGGGGAGTTCCCAGGGTTAGTGGACTTCAGAGCCAAAATGTTCCCTGAGTGAGCTTGAGGGTGAGTGAGTCATTGCTCTGGGATGAAGTTTGACAACCATTCAGTTTAGGTGGAGTCTATTCGGCACCCAGGTCAACAGAGAACAGAAAAGTGACTCACTCTGTAGCTCACCCACCTACATGGATGTTACAAAATCAGCAAGCCTTCCTTTTATAAAAGTTTGACTTGTATTTCTAATTGAGTCATTGATCATCTACCTAGCACTTCTGAAGGACAGTATTGCTTATCACTCTTGGCTTAAGCTGGCTGGGAGGTTAATCTTTACCCAAAAAGTATATACCTGGAAGTTGTGGTCAGTCTACCCATCTAGGATACCTCTCAGCACTTGTTGTCATGGGTCCCAAAGAAGTTTGCTTTTCATCCCCTCCTACCATGATAAGGGTTCATATTTTTGCTCAAATTTGAGCCCTTTCCCCTTTTCCAACCTGTAAAAACAAACTTTCTTATCCTAAGAAAAAAGATCACAGTAAAAGATGGCTCGAAGACTTTTCAGAAATCAAGTAGCACTTATGAAACACTATTTGCTTATATTACTGTTTCAACAAATCAAAATCATGTGGATTAAATTTCCTTGCAAATAAATAAGGAGTCACTAATGAGGAGCTGAGTTTGAATTTTTCCAGAATTACAGAAATTTAGTAAAGATATGTAGTGTTTCTTGAACCAGATGGACCCACTGTTCCACACCAGAAAGTAAAATAGATCATAAAAAAATGTTCCAATATATCTTGATTAGGCATTTTGAAATCATTTTCAAAACTGATGAGTTATTGATTTGGATTACAGTTAAAAATGAACAAGTGCAGTAATGTTTATAATTGATATCAACAAATACTATTCAGTTAATAAAAAATTCCAACAGGTACATAAAAAGGTGCTCAACATCAGTGATCATTAGGGAAATGCAAATCAAAACCATAATGAGATATCACCTCATGCCTGTTTAGGATGGATATAATCAAAAAGACAAGAGATCACAAATACTGGCAAGGATGTGGAGAAAAGAGAGCTCGTGCACTGTTAGTGGGATTATAAAGTGGTATAGCCACTATGGAAGTATTGAGTTTCCTCAAAAAAATAAAAACAGAACTACCATATGATCCAACAATTCTACTTCTAGGAATACATCCAAAGGAAATGAAAACACTGTGTGGAAGAGATACATGCACCCCCATGCTCATAGAAGCATTATTTACAATAGCCAAGACATGGAAACAACATGTGTCCATTGATAGATAAAGGGATAAAGAAGTTGTGATATGTACACATATATGTTACTCAGCCATGACAAATAAAGAACTCTTGCTATTTTCTATTTTTGACAACATGGATAGTCCTCTTGAGGGCATTATGCTCAGTGAAATAGGTCAGATGGAGAAAGACAAATACCGTATGATCTCATATACATGTGGAATCTAAAAAAGCAAAAAACCCAAACTCATAGAAAAAGAGAGCAGATTTTTGGTTGCCAGAGGCAGGGGGTAGGGGAAGGGTGAATTGGAAGAAGGTGGTCAAAAGTCCCAACTTCAAGTTATAAGATAAATAAGTACTCAGGGTGTAATGTACAACACGATGACAACAGTCAATATTGCTGTACGGTGTATTTGAAAGTTATTAAGAGAGTAAATCCTAAGAGTTCTCATCACAGGGAAAAATGTCTTTTTTCCTCCTTTTCTTTTTTTTTTTTGTACCTATATGAGATGATGGATGTTCACTAAACATACTGTGGCCATCATTTCACAATATATGTAAGTCAAACCATTATACTGTGTATCTTAAACTTATACAGTGCTGGATGTTAATTATGTCTCAGTAAAACTGGGAAAATAATAAAACAAGAGACATAATATTTATTATGGTTTATTTTTAATAAAAAAATTTGTAAAATAACTAACAGCAAAACCTAATGATGTAGTTAAGATTCTTATTATTTTGTAAGGCATAAGCACCACACTTTATTTAGCTGAAACACTATTTATTTGAGTGTGAATATAATTACTATGAAAACCTTCAACCATAAGTTATGTTATTAATCTTTTAAAAAATTTATTTCTTAACGAAAATAATTGACAATTAAAAAAACTAGGGACACACATTTAAGAGTCCAAGATACAAAGAACAAGTCATTGACAAAGCAAAGCAAGAATTGAAAATTTCTTCTTCTGAGTCCCCTAGTCAATGTTTTGCCATCTATCTTTATACTAATGGTAATTTTAATAATAACATGTGATATTAATAATGGCACATATGATGAAAATAGTATTAAATGTGCTAATGCAACCTTAATGAAATATAAAAGCGTAACTTTACATCCATGCTTAGAAATGGGTTATTTAATTATTCAACAGTGAGATTCATCCAGCTAAAATATATGCAAAAATAGATTCTAAACTGGAGGAATTATGATCTGAATGATTAATAAGATCAGCCTTTCTCCAGCCATGTTATCAGTAATATACAAGTAACTACAGACTATAATTTGACTTGTTCTGGATAATGCTGGCCAAAACTCTTGAGAGGAATTGGATAAAACAAATGTTTTTATTTTTATAATGCATTTTGTCCCAAAGCCAAGACTTACAGGATTTTGCTTGGAATTACATTCTGTTATTTGCAAGCAAAGAGTTCCCTTGGCTGTTAGATTGGCAGAGCTAGTAAAATACTGCTCATCTGAGGCTATTTAATCTTAGGACACTGAAAAGATCCAATCTATTACTGCTGCTAAATTTAACCTCATGTGAGCCAGGCCTTGGGGCGTGAGGTGCACCATTCTTCCCAGTATGGAAAGTGAAAGTTTCTTCTGCCCATGGTTTGGTTAACACACTCAAACAGAATCAACACGATAGAGTCTGTCCTTATGAAGGCTGATCCTTCAGCTTTTTGTTACTTCTTTAGTGTCTGCTGTGTATTCAGGCTTGTTGTGAGGTCCTGGGGATACTTCTGCTTCTAGGGAACTCAGAGTCAGTAGTGGAGAGAAATGCATAAACAAATGATCATGTTAAAATGTGAATCTTATTCGAGAAGTAGACAGGGTGCTATGGTGTTTCAGAATTCAAAATGACTAGATATCTGCGGTTGGAACTGGGGTGGGGTTGTATCATGTGTGTACTGCTAGCTAAACACACCTTTCCAGAACTAAGTGGGGTTCTGTTTAAAACAGTTGGGGTTTATTTGCTCATGATTTTGCTCTGGGGTCTGGGCTGAGGCACACATTTCTTCTATTGGTGTTTCCTGGGAATTACTCATGGTGATTCAGCTAGGGTCAGACCGTCAAAGAAAGGTATTCACATACTTGGTCATTAGGTCGGATTCCCAGCTGGGCATCTCCGTTCTCCTCCATGTGGCTCATCCAGCAGATTAGACCAGGTGTTTAATAGGGTGTCTGCAACTTTCCAAAAGAGTGAGAGCAAAAACTGCAAGGCCTCTTGACCTAAGGCTTGGCAGTTATACAATGGCACATCCACTGCATTTTATTGGAGACAGCAAAGAACTGGTCTATTCCAGAATCAAGAATGGTGGAAATTGTCCCCACCTCATGATGGGAGGAGCTGAGAAGAAATTGTAGCCATTTTAGCCACCGAGTTTAGTTAGTTAGGGAACATGTCAAAGAAAGGCCTTTTAAGGTGAGTCTTTAATGATTTATATTAGTTTCCTATGTAGGTGTGTGTGTGTGTGTGTGTGTGTGTCTGTGTCTGTGTGTTGGAGCAGCAGTTATTCCAGGAAGGACAGAGGAAGCTCTCCAAACTGAGTGATTAACACGAACACAGGATGGTGCAATATTTGTGACATTACAAGTAAACATATCTATAGATGAATACAGAATGTATCATAGCTACCAGGGGTAGGGAGTGACCAGAAGGGGAATAACAGTGAAGGGAGGGACAGAAATGAGTCTGGAACGATTGGTTAGCAGATCGTTAAAGAGCTTATGTGAAAGGCTGAGTGACTTGGAATTTGTCCTCTAGGCATTGGGTAACCAGGAATCGTTTTTATATCAAGTTTCTGTGGCCTGGGAAGTCACTGAATAAGAATCTGTTAAATAAATAAAAGCAGCTTAGTTATGTAGTCAGATTTGCTATTCTTTAAAAAAATAGGATGAAATTAAGTCTCTGTAGACTTAGAAGTGGTGCGTGGTGGGTGAGGGTAAGAACATTATGCTAACCCTAACAAATAGCGGCAAAGCTAGTTTACAGGGGACCAGCTCCTTTCAGTGTATTTATTATGAATATTAGGTCAGCTTTATACCTGCAATGTGCTATTTTTGAAAGCCTCATCATAGTGGTGAAGGGCTCCTGAGATATTTAAGTTGATTCATTTTGAAAGATAAAACACAGCCAGAGAGTAGTGACCTCTCAATGTTGTCAGGAAGTAGGTAGAATGAGCAGAGATGGTAGATTGGGAAACAGATGAAAAATAGATCCTTTACATACGATGCCTAGTGGTTTTTTAACATATTTGGAAGAAATACAAATGCTTTTAGTTTGTTTCCTCATTGGATTTTCAAGATGGGCCCTGAATAGAGTTTAGCAAGACGTTGAGAGAGAAATGTTAAGAGAGTTTGAAAGACTAAAAGCCACAGTGAAGGCTGGACATTCAATCCACGAATATTCGAAACCTACCATAACCGTTCAGAAATTTATTTAATTATCCTGCACTGGGCAGAGTTGTAGTGTCACAGAAGGCTTTGCCACTTAAGCCCTAGTTTGGAATATTGCCCAGACTGGATATCTATTTTTTTTTTCTATAATTAAACTCCTTGTCAATGAATCAACCAATCCAGGGCTGGGATGGAGGCTCTAAGATGTATTTTGCTCTCAGCCAGTGCATAATTGGGATTGCTTGTCTTATCTGCCAAGTGAACTGTGGGTCTGCTGGCCAAACGTATGCTGGCCACATGTGAAACAGTATCTCCCTGCCAAGCACCAACCACAGAAAGTCATCATTAATAATCTCATATGAGTAGACAATGCGGTGATTGGTTCCAGCTCTTTGCGTGCTGGGTTTCAGGGGCAGCTCTGGCCAATGAGAGGTGTATTAGAAAGCCCCACTCTGTCTGTAGATGTCATTAACAAGTGCAATGGATGGACAGCATCTGGGAGGAAGACAGAGCCCTTCATCAGCTGTTGGCAGAGGATCCTCTGGCTGCCTTTTCCAGCCTAGGAGCATAATATTGCCTGAAGCCTAAAAGACAGGTTTTCCTATGCCTAATTAAGGAGGTGCTGTAGGAACCAGAGGAGTTCAGGCAGAGCTCCTGGGCTTTCCCAAGTACTCCTTTCTACTCCTAATGAGAAGCTGTTGCTGTCTTTGGCTGATTCCATGTTGGTGGCGTCTCAGCACACTGTATGCATTCAAGGCTGCGGCTACTTAACTTAAAGGAGAGTCATGAGTAGTGACAAACAAGAGGACAGAGAAGGCATCTTGCAAAAGACCTCCATTCCTACCGCCTTCAACTCATTTTGAAGGGGTAGAGAATTTAGCAGCCCCCAGTGAGAAATTTCTCAAATGTTATTATGAGTTTCTCTTCAGAAGGGTCATCTGGAGCCATGGGATAACGATTAGATTCTCTGCATAGACTGGCCTGTTTCACACACAGACCAGTCCTTGACCTCCTTGCCATCTCCAGTCCCAAGCAGAATTAGCACCACTTAGCTGAGTTTCCTTAGCAACTGGGTAAGTTACCATGTAACAGTGCATTGTTTGTTTAAAGACTTGCCTCTCACATGATTTTCTGAACAACTTAACTTACTCAGACCAGTATCCTCAGCTCCTCAAAGAACAATCAACACAGAAAATGCTTCACAATATTTGTTGTACTGTTGAATGTAGAGACTGACATTTGTCAATGGAGGGACCCACCTTTCTGCTATTTCAACTTTCTTATTGTTTCTAGTATCTCCAAAATACAAACCAATAAAATGTAAGAACCTAATGACTTAATATTGCAAAGTAATTAAGAGCCCAGATGTTCTAGAATCAGACCTTGGTGTGAATCTCAGGCAAAACGTTGCTTTTGCAACTTTAGGCAGGTTATTTAAAATGTCTATACCCACAGTTTCCTTCTTTGTTAATTAGTTTAATAATATTACCAAAATCATATAGTTTTGTGAGAAACAAATAATGTACATAAAATGCCTGATATAAACACTAATCAAATATTAGCTATTATTGTTATTACCATTATACCAATTAATTACCATTATCTTCAAGTGTAGGATCCCATATCGCTGTCATTTTAAGGTTGATATTATAGAGGGCTACCATATCGTTTTACCAACTATTCTTGTAGCCATTGCTGAATGTGAGAAAAGGTGTGGTATGGCCTTTGTCCAATCACTCTTTTATTTGTAAAGACCCTCGAGCTCTTTGGAGAAGACACATTATAAAGCTGAAGAATTCTAATTATTTTTGGCACCAGCAACATCACCCACAGTCAAAGCAACTAGGGATTCCACCAAGGATTTTAACAACCTTTAGAAGGCAGCATTTCCAGACATTATCACGTCACCAGGAAATTCAGTTTTCTGCAATAGAGTGTGGTAATGCACTTAGCCGTAAGGCTCTTATTTTCAAACAATTTGCGTCAGATTCATCTGTGTTAGGAAAATGGAAATAAAAAAAATTTGAGTCAGCTAAAACTGATTGTCTCCTTTCAATGGCTTCTGGGATTCCACTCCACACAAACAACTACAATGCCAGCTGGTATTTCAGCTGGAAACATCTGCGGGACCCTAAATCTTTTTTGCATCATTTTTTTTTCTTTTAAATTTTTTCCCTCTTCTGTTGGTGATTGCACTCATTGAAAAAAATTGGGCTTGGAAGAGAGATGGTTATGCCCACAGATGGAGTGGAATAATAAGATACAGAACAAAATACAGAAATAAGGTAATTTTTGGATAATTAGGACAAAATCTAAATTTACTTAAAATTTTCAGGTAATCACAGATAAAATAGCATTATGAAATCAAATAAGTTTTTAACATGTAGACATCACCCAATGTTTTTGCCACAGCTCTCAATAAAATCCCTTAGTTCCACAAATTATTGATAAAAAAAGTATTGATCAGTGATAAAAGATGCATAACTCATAATTTTCCTCTGATAGTCAATTGATGCAACAATGTGGGAATATCATAATATTATGAGAATACAGCATTTTTGATGTGTTAATATTATATAACACTATAGTCATATAATAATACAAATATATTATTGTATTTATTTCAATAATGGCCTCGTGGTAGTAGGGTATCTGTTTCACTGATGATGTTCCTTTCCCACCTGATTTACATATTAGAAGAGAAAGAATGCGAATCACCAAGCTATCCTTGGGATAGAGTCATTGATCAGGTGTTGGTTGAGCATCATTGGAGGATCACTTGTTTTTTAAAGCCCCTGAACATGAGGGTGCTACGGAGAGTCCAGTAGCAATGAGTTACCGCTCAGTAACCAAGAATAAGCACAGTACTTCCTGAAGTCCCTGCCCCCTAAAATGTGTGCAAGTTGAGAGAAAAGCTGAAATAGAGAAATATTCCTACAATAGTGTCTGTAAAAGTGAGCTTCGTAGATCATTGCATCTGAAGTATCTGTAGGATATTTGTTAAAAGTGCAGAATCCGGGGCCCATCCTAGATCTGGACTCAATCTTTGGGTGTGGCTTGCTGCGTTAACAGGCCATTTAGGTAACTATTTGGCACATTAATGCTTGAGAATTCTTGACCTGGAAAGTCAGGGATTCTGGGGAAATGGGGAAAATGTAGGGATACAAAGTTTCCTAAGCTATAGATTTTCTCAAATGAATCTGAGAAATGCTTCTTGGGACTATTAGCATTGACTCGTAAATAAAAAGGCCATGAGGCTGCCAATAACTAACTAAATATCCAGTAGAAAGACAAGAATTACATTGTTTCTATTAGTACTCTTACCCCCATTTGGAAAATGTTGTCCAGAAAACTCATATCCTGGGAAAAGTGGGCATTATTACATTTTATCACTTCAAGTCACTGGGCAATGCAATTTGTGATTATTTAGTTCTCTGGACTGCAAAGCTCTCTGTTTGGTTCTTATGTATTATAAGTCTAATATCTAGTTAGATTCCTTCTTTCACTTTCTATTAGCATTGACTCGTAAATAAAAAGGCCATGAGGCTGCCAATAACTAACTAAATATCCAGTAGAAAGACAAGAATTACATTGTTTCTATTAGTACTCTTACCCCCATTTGGAAAATGTTGTCCAGAAAACTCATATCCTGGGAAAAGTGGGCATTATTACATTTTATCACTTCAAGTCACTGGGCAATGCAATTTGTGATTATTTAGTTCTCTGGACTGCAAAGCTCTCTGTTTGGTTCTTATGTATTATAAGTCTAATATCTAGTTAGATTCCTTCTTTCACTTTCTTCCTAGAATTCAAATCTTAAAAAAAATGTGGAACAAATTCCTTCCCAGGCTAATGGAAAACAGTCTTCCACAAACTGTGAGTCCACATGTGGGAACTCAGGAGTTTATATACAGATGTATGTGCATGAATGGTTGTACAAAGAATTAGAAACCATTGCCAACACCATCTAATTGGCACTGGTCACCAAGATCCCAAAGGCCCTAACATTGCATTCTTTATTCACTTTACAATGAATGTTGTTTTTTGTGTTATCCAGTTCAAAAGGGTCTCTGCATCCACCACTTTCGCATAGATTGACACTTGCTTTGGAAATCTGTGCAAACATCCTTCATGAGGTTTTTTTTTTTTTTTTTAACTGCCTTTTGTTTCTGTTATCTGCAGAATCTTTCTGGAGTCTGTAAAACATTAGGAGTTCAAAAAGGAAAGGTGACTGCAAATGTGCTTTGCAGTTTGACCAGATGTGAAGCCAGTGTCATGAAATACATTCAATTATACTATAAATAGAAGGTAATTAATAAAATGTGCAGAATGCTAAGACATATCTCACTCCCTATTACTCAGTTACTATAACCACTCTTCCAGCAAAAGACAAGTCTTGCAGATGTCAGAGAATGGATTTCATAATGGGAGTCTCTATATAATAGCCTGAGAAAATGCAGCTTCAATTGCAAGCCAGAAGAGGCTGGATTTCTTTTAGTTTTTCCCAAAAGTAATAAAAATGAAGACAAGAAGGAGACTCTTATGAAGAAGAAAAATCTCCTATCTAATTAAATATTTTTCAAATCTTGAAGTTAAAAAGCTATACATACGTTGTGAATAATATTACTGGTCCAATTGGGCTACTATAGTTCCAATAAAATTTAAAATGGGAAAATATATTAATCTGTCATTGTTAGTCAAATTACATGTCTTGTGTGAAAAATGTTTACCTTTTTCTCCCCCTATGATTTCAGGCTCAGACAGTAAGGACAATTTCTCTGTGTCAAACTTCTTGCAGAGTCATATGCAATGAAATAGGAATTATATCCAGCATCATGTGGGTAAGCCCCCCAAAGTTAATGAACGAAGTTAAAAATTTGGAGAGGGCAAAATCTATCTAGCTATGTAGCTAGCTAGCTATCTGTCTAAAGGGTATCAGAGATGAAAAATCCAGGGAAATATATAAGTTGCATTTTTGGGTGGCCGAATGTATACACTTTCTTGATAAAGTGCTTTCCAGTGTAAACATTAAACCAGCCACTTAACATTTGCCTGCTTCCACACTGTGAGAGCGCGGGAAGGCATGTAAACAGAAATGCAAACTGCCCAGAACAACATTCCTGCTAAGGACACAGAGATTATTCATCCAAATTCAAAATGAGTCCAGTGTATGTGTTTCTCTGACAGTATGGGCAGAAGCTTGCCCTTTCTACTCTACGGCTCTGTCTCTCCTTCCCCCTCTCCCCCTTCCTCTTTCTCTGTCAGGACAAACTTAAATACTGTCACTCTCTGAGCATGATGATTGATGCCTGGGTATATCTTTCCTGTGGCTGGTCTAGGTTATACCAAGCTCTCATTTCCCCCAGCTGTTTCCGATGTAACTGTTACATAAGATCATACTTGCCTTGCTTGCTCCTTTACTGGAGGAACCGTTGTGGTTCCGTTGTCCCCAAATGTATTTCAGGACAAAACAGTACAATAGAAGCGGGAAGACATGGCTTTGTGAACTGTTGTACGGCAAAGTCAAGTCAAAAGTTAAGAAATTATACATTTGACATATGTTGAGATATGGATAATTCTGGACTAAGGAAGACTATTGGTTTACATAAAAGATACCCTGATCTCACCCTCACTCAATTCAAGTGTTTTTTAGACATCTCTGATATTTTTTAATGAGTTATCTAACAGCAAAGGCTGTCATCAATCCATTGGATTTATGTCCCGTTTCTACTAGCTATTTGACAGTATCTTCCCACTTTTTTGTGTATTCTTTTATCACATAGGCGATTCTCAAGCACTCTTGAATGTAGTCACTTATAGTCAAGGCTCTAAGACCTACTTTAAAAATTGATGATGGAAGAGGGAAAAGATGTTTGTTCAAACTGCCATGCACTTCTGAAAAATAAAAAAGATAGAGAGGAAAGGAAGGATCGAAGGGAAGAAAAGGAAAGAGGAAGAAAAAGAAGAAGGGAGAAAGGAAGAAAGGAGGGAAGGAAGGAAGGAAAGAAGGAAGGAAGGAAAGGAGGGAGAGAGGGAGGAAGGAAGGAAAGGAGGGAGGGAGGGAGGAAGGAAGGAAAGGAGGGAGGGAGGGAGGAAGGAAGGAAAGAAGGAAGGAAGGAAGAAAACAAGAAGGAAGGACGGAAGTATGGATGGAAGGAAAGATGGAAGGAAAAAGCATCAATGTCTGTCTGTGGACTACAGTTACTTATGGAGGAAGCATCCAGAAATAAGTACCATTTGTGGCTGCTTGAACTCTGGGACTGTTGTCATTTGGTTCCAAAATAAATATGCTACCTGAGTAAGAGACAGTCTCAAGGTCTGATTCAGTGAACTGGTGTCAGGGTGGAAAAGACCCATTAAGTCATGTCATTGCTTTCTCCTTAAAAAAAAGAAAAAGTGATCCCATAATATTGGTCTCCGGGGCTCAGTCCATTCAGATTTCAAAATATTCCAGGCTAGAAGGCTTCCACCATTTTCCTCAGACTATTTCATTATCCAGCTGATCATAGACATAAGGAAGTTTTCCCAGTTATTATTCCCCAAGTTCCCTTTTTTTCTAAATATCATCCCATTATTTACACTATTTCATTATGCCTCATTTTTATACCTTGGATTTTATAGCCTTCAAGTACTAGAAGGTGGTTGTCATTTAATACTCTTTATCCATCCCTTGGCCAAGAGAACACAAAAGAGTTATTAAGTTGTGCGTTACTGTGGCTTTTTAAGCTCTATTCATAAATCAAGAATCCTAAAGTCTTGGGAAACAGGGATATGGTAAAAGGAAATTTACCTTTATGTTTACATTTAGTTTTCAGTTCCAAATGCTTCTATCAACTGAGGTGTCTGCCAAAGTTCTGATCGAACTTTGTGTGTGAATGAAACTAGTGTGTGAATGAAAGAGCCATAGGCTTTCCAGGTAAGAAGGAACCTTCTTTAAGGATGATTTGGACCACTTCTCCTTATATTGCTGAAACTTCTAAATATTTCTATCAAGTCATCATTCAGCTTTCTCTAGAAAGAGATACACAGAGATAGAGAAAGATAACCTCCATGAAACATATTAAGCTAATTTTCAGACGCAAAGGCATAATTCACATCTTCCATGAGACTGAACTACATCTCCTCCCTGCCCTGGAGGAACAATAGCAATCATAAAGCTCAGATTCCTTGAGCACTCTCTCACAGCTCAGGGATTCTGGAAATTCAATCTGCCTTATACAATTGTCACATCCTCATAAGACAGATTTATCACCCTTTCAAAATGAGGAAAATAGGATTAGAGAATTAATTCACTCGCCCAAGCTCTCACAGGTTTTCACTGCTGGAATCACAGTTTGTAATTATGAGATGGATACGGAGATCCATGATAGTTTCACTGTATCACACCTTGAAGTAGGATTACACCTCAAAGCACTGAACAAATACCTAATCACCATTGGGCCAGCTTGGCTCTTCGTGGAGAAAATTTACTTCTGTGACAAGCAGCTAATTCATTAATTCAATATTTAATCAGGACCCAGTATGTGCCTGGCAATCTTTTAGTCCTGGGGACACAGTTGTAAACAGAGCCGGCAAACATCCTGTTCTCAGGGAACTCACATTCTAAATACATAAGATGCATAGTTTATCAGATAGTTACAAGTACTATAGAAAAAATAGAGCAATAAAGGGGGGATAGAATTATAAATTAAGAAATAAACACATTTAGAGTTTATCAGACGATTTTGTGCGCTAAGGAGAACAATGAAACAGGGAGGGAAGTTAGATAGGGCTGGAATGGTGAGGGAAATCCTCTCTGCTGGTGACATGTAGACCAAGAGTTAAAGAAGGGGAGAGAGTGAGCCAGGTGGATTCCGTGGGGCGAGCATGCTGGGCTGTCAGATGCCAAGGCTCTGAGGTCAGTTGTCTAGTGTGTTCAGGGAAGCACAAGAGAGCTAGTCCAACAGGGACAAAGTGTGTGAGGGAAAGAGTGGCAGACGACCCTGTCAGAAAGTGGTCTGGAAAGGTTCTATTGCTCTTTGTCAGCCACTGGAAGAGCTCTGATTTTTATTTTGAGTGAGATGAAAAGCTATTGAACAATTTTGAGCAGAAAGCCATTATCTTATTTACATTTTTAAGAGTCACTCTGGTTGCTGTTATAAAAATGTGCTCCCTGTGGGAAAGCAGACATCAAAATAAGGCCAATTAAGACTTAATAGCTAATAATGATTCCACATCATAACAATAGACATTTCTTGGAAGACTTTGGTACTTACTTTATATTCATTATCACATTAATTTTCACAACTTATGTGATGGCTGTCATCATTATATCCTGTTTGTAATTTGTAGTTGAGGCTTTATGGAATTTTTATGGCAGTTGATCCAGTACACACGCGGGGGCATACTTGACTTGAATAAATTTAGTTGTTTTGAAACAAGTTTTAATTAATAGAATATGAATATATTTGAGGTTTTTATGGCAATTGGTATAGTAATTGGAGATGCATAGGAAAACAGAGATTCATAACCCTAAATGCACATTAAAATTACCAAGAGCTTTTAAATTGTACTGTTTGTCCTTGGAGATACTTATGTAAGGATTTGGTTGAGACCCAAGTGTCTGTACTACTTTTAAAAACTTTTTAATATCTATTTAAGATAGAGAACACATTTAAAGAAACTCCAATCCCTGCAAGGATGTAAGATCAGAAATATCCAGATATTTTGATCTTGAGTACATTATTTTTTTAAAGATTTTTTAAATGTAGACCATTTTTAAAGTCTTTATTGAATTTGTTATAATATTCTGTTTCATGTTTTGGTTTTTTTGCTGTGAGGCATGTGAGATCTTAGCTCCCCAAACAGGGATAGAACCCAAACCCCCTGCATTGGAGCGTGCAGTCTTAACCACTGGACATCCAGGGAAGTCCCGAGTTACATTATTTTTAAGAAATATATTTCTTAATAAATATATAAATAAACATATTTATCTGTGCAAATTTGCCATCTACCTCTCACAAGTTCATTGGGTCATAGTGTATGTATTTTTTGGATAAACTTTCTCCTGGCTTCTTCTTTTGCCCAGATTTCCTTACCTTCTTTGAAAAAAAAAGTGTGTGTATCTACTTTTAAATGTATAATTTTAAAAAGTAAATTAGAAATATAGTAGTCGAACACTCCGATGATAATTCTTAATTAATAGCTAACCAACTACCTGGACCAACTCAAATGTTTATCAAAGAAAAGGAATATTGAAAAATAATTAACAAATGATCAGGTTTCTGTAAAGAGAGATATAGCACATTTTGGACCTAGGAAATGTAGATGTCTTAAACAATGGGCGTAATGGCAGGAAGGGGATTCCTATGGGAGGAGGATTTCCCATTTTCTCACAGCTCTCCCTTTAGCCCAGGCTGTTTACAAAGACACTGGCGATAATCATTTCTTGTTAAAACTGGGGCTCAGGCAATAGCTGAGGGAGGCTGGAGGAGGTCAGGACCATAAGGCCAGAAATAGCCTTAAGGACAGGCAAAATGGTGAGCTCTATGCAGGGGATCAGCATGGGGAAGGAATATTCTACAAATGGGCAGGGATCATTCAACAGAGACCAACTGCTGTAACAAACAAAGCCAACATTTCAGAAGCTTAATGGAGCAAAAGTCTAGTTCTTGTCCTGTCAAGGTACAGTGTGTGTCCATGGTGGTGGAGGGAGCTCTTCTGTCCACTGCTCCACACTTAGTCATTTGGGGACCCAGGATTCCTCCAAGTGGTGGTCTTTGGACTCTGGGATGTTGGAATTCTCTACGAGATCCATTACAACTTCCTGAGTGAAGAGCAAAGAGAGAGAGTAGAGAATCATATGACAACTTCTAGTGGCCAGTCCAGAAACCGGTATATGTAACTTTCTCCCTCACTCCTTTGGCCAAAACTCAATCATGTGGTCCCATCCTTTCCTCCATGAGAGTGAAGGGAGGAAAATGGGTAGAATTATGTGCCACAGGAGCCCAGGGATGTGCCACTAAAGGTAATCTTTATGAAAAGCTATTTCCAAATTATTTTCAAAATTGCAGACTGAACTATGTGGATTATACGCAGGAGATCATGGATAACTGATCTTTCAACATGATCTGATCAATGATGACATTTGAGCTAAAATATAGAGTCATTGGTATCTAGGAGAATAAACATCAACTGCCGGGGATGGACTGATGTAGAAAGTGAGGTCCAGGCAGGGCTGGAATCTACCTCTGGGGAGTCCTAATGATACACATGACTCAGAGCCAGGTGGTGAGCCAGGCTTAGAGGTCTTTTTCCCATCCCTGTTTTGGGACAAGACTGCAGGCAGAATCTGAGGAGAGGTGGAATCAGGAGGTGGATCTTTCAATGTGTCCCAGCTGCAGGGATGGAGTGGGATGAAGTGAGCAAAGATCCAAGTGGACTTTTATAGTTCAGATGGCCTGGACTCTCCCTGTCACTCTGTAGTCTAGATGCTGGTTCTTTGGAGTGCCTGGAGCCATCTCAACTGGGACCCGGCCCTAGTGCCGCACTGGCCCTTTGATGGTGGCAGGTGGTGGGAGGCAGTGTGGTTCAGAGGCTGTGTCCTCACCTGCTCTGTGCTACTGAGAAAACCACAGCTTGCCTTGTCTCAGAAGCTTCTATGGGCAGACTTCATGGTAATGTACGTTAATATGGTCATGATCTCTTCTTACAGCAAGATGGGAAAATCCTTTCATAGTGTGCTATATCCTAACATTCCCCATAACAAAGAGTGTCACAGGTGTGTGTGTGCATGTGTGTGTAAGAGAACTGTAGGAAACTAACTTTAAAACAACGTTTCTTGAGAGATATACGGTGTCCATCCAAGGACGGATTATGAAGTTCTGCTCTAGCTGCCTCAGT